AATATTCTGTGTAATATTTATCATGTGTGCTGGTAGAAAAAATTTGGAAGTTGGTCAATTGTAACCATTTGATAGTGGTGATGATCCCCCACAATTTACTAATTAATTTTCTTTTAATTAATGATTTTATTTAATAACAATAAATCCCATTTTGCAGTTATGTGATTCCATTTTTGATACTAAATCATCATAATTATAGTTGCAAAAGTTGCAGAAAATGTGAAAACATTTACAGACACCAACTTTACTAATGACCCAATGTGGAATAAATAATGTTTATAAAGTGTGTTTTTGAAAAAATGTCACTATAATGAGATTGTCACTATAATGAGCTGTCCTTATAACAGGAGTGACCTGTATTTGAATTATTCATTTTGTTCAAACCATTTGATTAGGACCTTGGACAATTATAATTGAACTAGTATTAACAAAAGTGGGTAGTGAGCACATTAAAACACCAACCAGATCTTCAAGCATTTACATAATAAAAAATGGATTTTTAATAAAAATGCCCAAAAAGGAAACACTCAACATTTTTAGTAAGATCTTCTGAGTATGGACAAAGTAAAAGAAAAAACATTTTAATTGGATTGAATTAACAATGTGCATATCAGATATTATTATTCAATTTAATAATAATACGAATAAAACGAGAAATCCTACTACTACTTATTATTATTTAAGAAAAATTTTTTTGGCCCGATGTTTTTTGAAGATTTCCCCCAAACCGGGCGTTCCCCCGATATTTTTGATCACCCTGGGGAAGACGCGCTTCACACTTCCAAGGTCATCATTTGTTCTAAATAGAAATACGGTATTTAAATTTTCGACGTCTCTTCCTCCATTTATATTGCTTGTAAAATGTGCGACAACAGCTTGTTTTGTTTTGATCTTCAATACCGTTTCTACAGCCAGTACTTGTAGGAACATTGTTGAACCCTCGCGGAATTCCATTGTATAACGATCGCCGAATCATCGACTACCATCTTTCACGGCATAAAGGACAGCCTTAGCGATATTATATTATCGTCTTGAAGTACAACATGCAGATTCGAAGGTACTAAATATATAGGAATACTACTCAATAATTGTCACTGTTTCACCACATTTTCGGGCAAGTTTTGGTACAGCTGTTTCATTATCTACAATTTGTGAAAGTGGTTGCCAAAATTATAACTACTTGTAATTATTTTTTTGAAAAAAGAATACCTTTTCTACGGAAAACTTTGAAAAGTGTTGACATGTTAAAAAATGTGTTCATGTGAGGAAGAATGATTTCAGATGAAGAAAAAACCAAATTTATTATATAGATAATTATAAAGTTCTGCAATAAATCCTATCAGAAAAATTATTGCGAGCATGTTCTAGTTTCGTGATTCTAGCCTTAAGCTCCGTATGAGCTTAGCATTTTCTTGCCTTGGTAAATCTAGTTTGGATTGCAATTATTTAAATGCATTACTCAACCAGTTCTTTTATTTTTTGGTAGTATGCAAACTTAAAATTTGGTCACTTTGAACTCTCCTTTTTTTATATTTTGAATAAGTAAAAAAAAAAATATAACATTATTTATTTATTAAAATGAGAGAAAAGGAATAAAAATAAAAATTTTAAATCTAAAATTTAGAATCTATTATTGTCTTTTTCTTCTAAAACTTTTGAACTGAATTTTTGTAAACCACGTAAAACAATATCAAGAGATGTCAATTCTGACTCTTCAGTCTTAACCTTGTCTTTCATTACCAATAATTTATTAAGAGCACGTAGTATTTTTACTATACGTTCGTTAACCTCTGTCAATAATCCATTGATGTCTCTTCTTTTGTGTTGTTCAGAGAAAAATGTTGTTGTTAGCTGTGATATTGTCAAAAAACCTGTCATCTCTATGAATGTAATATTTGTTTTCCATGTGACTTTCCAGAAATCTTGATCATCTATCTTATCAGAATTGTTGGCAGATATTTCCCACAATTCTAACAACGTGAGTCCATATTCCATGAATTCTAAAAGTGTTGCTATTGTTGGTGATTCATTATCTGAAATTTTCATCAATGGTTCAAAATAAACACGTTCTTTTAATGATGTCGGTGCAGACATCATAAGAACATCTTGTGATTTGGTTAAGTTAATGTATGTGGCCAAAGTATTTCTGGCAATTACTAAAAGTTTTTGCTGCACTCTTTGTAGAAATCTATTCATTTCATATGAATCAGATGTTTTCACATCAATAGCTGGCATTATCTTTTGAAATGCTATTTTTAATCCTTCAGAAATAGGCACTTTTGATTGTTTATTTTCCTCCTCTGTCAAACACTGAACCACACGTGACATATATTTAGGATGTGTGAATAAATAATTTAATTTTGACACCAACATTATCAATGACTCATCAAAATAAACAGCGAGTGATTCTTGGTGATCAATTGGCTCATGCTTTAGTATCAATGATATATGATAGAACATCATTGTGATATTTGAAATTTCTTCGAGATATGGCATGCTAATTGGTAATTCTAAAGCCATTGCCTTCTGAAATTGTTTACTGAATAAATTAATAAATCCAATTAGATTTTTTAGAAAATTTTTACGTTCCTTGGTAGAATCACCATCAATTGTAGACAGCATACTGGTTACAATTGCCAACATTAAACACCAAACTTGATGCCAATCTTCTTCTTCTCCTTCTGTTATATTTGGTTTAACTTTTCCTTCTTGAAGCGTTGGTGAAAGTTGATTATTACAAAACACCGTCATAATTCCATCATTGAATAATTTCTTGGCTGCAGATGGTATATTTGAAAGATGCAATAAAAAGTAAATTACACTATCTGCATATACTGATCGATCTTTCCATGGCATCATTAAGGAATATTTAAATGTGTTAAAGAAAAGTTTATTAATATTACGACCTTCAAGTATTTTAAGCCATTTTGTGGAATCAGGAATGCACAATGGTTTAATAAGTTGTTCCATTATTGCTATTAATATTAATATCTCTTCCTCGTAATTTGAATCACCAAATCCTCGGCTCATCGCAGATTCCAACAATGCTGTTATTTTTGTTAAAAGTGGATGACAAGATTTTTGAAAATTTGATAATTGCTCTTGACTATAATTATTGTTTTCATTGGAGTTAAGTGTACGCAGACACAATAACAGTGATTGTAATAATGGCTTGTGATACATGAGATTTGAACGTGTCTCGATTGAATTTTGTTTTGGCAAAACAACATTAATTATTGCTTCTTCCAATAAAATAATCAATTCTAAATATTTTATACTTTTGTTCTTTATACTTTTATAATTATCAATTAGTGTAAATTCTGTCAACAAGTAAAATAAAAAAGTTGCAAGTTCATTAAGCGTTGTTAAGGCAACTAGGTTTTCTTTATTTGCTTCTTTATCAATATGTTCAGCAATGCCTTTCACTATAGGCCAAGAAAAATCTGAGCCACTATTTGAGATCCAGAATTGGCTACCTAAATAAGATGATGATATTTCCATAAAATATTTCCAAGAACGAAGTAATACAATCTGTGAATCCAATTGTGAAAATTGATGATTTACTTTACATAAACATGATAAAAAATTTTCAACTAAATCTTTATCAACATTATTAGCATCTCTATTAAAATATAAGAAAACGTTGAATGCCAAATTTATATCATAAATATATGAATCCCCATATTGATGCCTTAAATCATAATCTTCACTCCAGCGTAAAACAGTAAATCTTTTAAGATTGATTTGAGGATAAGTCTCTGAAATTTTATTAGCCAAATCTTTGAGTGCAAACTGAGACTTGGAATCACAATTTATATCAATGAAAACCTTGAACCATTTAAACAGTTGATCTGACTTTTTAATATCTATGAATAATGTTTTTAAATTGCTTTCAGTTGTTATCTTTTTGTAAATATCTTCAACTGATACAATTTTTTCAACTTTAGTAAATATTTTGATTTCATTAGCTATGATTCTCAATACTCCTCCTATGATGTTTAACTTGCAACATTTGTTCAAGACATCATCATCTACAAGACTAAAAAACTTGAGATCCTTGTAATTCAAACCAGAAAAATCTGGTAATTTAGTATCGTCAATATCAGAAAATAGTATAGAAACAATATTTTCCCATATTGTCTTATTTTCTTGTAATTGTTTTAAATGAGGTTTAAAATCTTTTAGTTTATAAATTTTTTGATCATGTATAGTCAACCATAAAGTATCCATAAATCTGACAACCGATAGTAATAGTAATGGTTTATTGATTATTAATTGTTTCCAATCTTGAAAAAAACTAAGAATAACAGAGGAAACAGAGGTTGTAATTTGATTTTCATCAGTTGCTTTACCCTTTCCTTTGCGATCAAGTGGTTTTGGAGTATCAAAGTCATCAATAATAAACATGAATTGAGATTTGGTGGCAACTGTGATAAAATTTATAATTGCAACTTGTAAGTCTGGATTAAAAATATCAGATTGTAAATTATCAATAAAAAGCTTTAGCAATTGTTTTGAGTCTGATTCTTTTCCAAATAATCCACCTAAAGATTGCCAATTTGTCAAGGATTCATCTGCTATTGTTAAAAGTAAGGTCAAAAGTTCACAAGCTAACATTGGTATTTCATAACTTTCCGTAAATTTTATTAGTGATGCAATTTTAAGGATTAATGTTTTGCCATTTTTTTTAGTCCTATCCAACAGATTGAGTTCAATCCAAGATAAATCTTTAGAATAAATTTTACGTCCTTTTATAATCAAAATTATTAACTCTAATGTATATTCCAATAATTTTAACAATTCAGGTGTAATTAAATTTTTTGATGCCATATCCGAATGCTGAATAAAATATTTTCCCTTCTCAATGATAGAAATTAAAGGTACTGAATAATATGATCCTTCATCAGAAATAAAAGTTTTAATTAAAAACTCACGAATAGAATCTAATTTTTTGTTACTTTTCAAATCTATCATTGAATCTGCAAAACTTGGTGCATCTCTTTTTGGATGACAGCCAAGAGATATCCTATTAAAAATTTCTAAACATTTTAAACCAATCTGAATACGTACCGATGGATTTTTGTAATGCCAAAGCTCAAAGTACACAAAAACAACACCTAGTACGTAAGATAAAGTTGAGTATATGACGTCTAATGAAAGTTTCCACGAGTCTGGATCATTATCTATATTATGCAATTCAAGATTAACCAACATTTCAATCATCAAATCTAAAATTGCAAGTGTGACCGGATACCGTCCTTCTGTACATTCATGCTGGATCAATAGAGATTGCAATCGACCAATTGATTGTAAAGCATCATCCTCATTGTTATTGTTATTGTTTGTATGCACATCTATAGAAATATCTGGGAGCAATCTTGATTTTTTAAAGTGAGTGTAAAATTGTTTTCCGCAGTTTGGTAATAGTAGCTTAATACATTGTAACGTAGAAGCAATTAAATTAAGATCAATTGGATAAACATTCATAAGATTGTGAATGATTGAAAAAAGCATTGATAAAAAGTTTGAATCATAATTTTCTGTCATATTTTGAGATTCCAAATGTTCTAAAAAGGTAGGGATGATATCAGGATTATTTCTGAACATTGTATTTATAAGTAACAATATATCACTAGCTTTAGAAATAATATCATTTATATCTGAAGTACTATTGAAAATATTGATTTTTTCTATGTTTAATGTTGAAAAAGATTTCAAAATTCCATAACAAAGTTGCCATCCTGAATATTCAAGCATCCAACGAACTAATTTGCCTTCATCATTGGATGAAACTATATATCCTTCAGTCCTTTGAGGTATTACAGGAGATTGGTTTAAATTTTTGAAAATTTTTATAGGAAATCTGCTAATTACAATATTATTACTTGTCTGTGAGATTTCCAATTGATTATTGTTTGCAAAACAACAACACACTGAAAAAGATTTCATGAAACTGTAAACATTATTTGCTGACTCTGAGCCGAAGGCTAATGAGTCAAACAACTGCATAAGTGGATGGAATTGATGTGGAAACCTTGAAATTGATAAATCTAATAACGATCTACGTTTAGGGTAATCAAAATCCTCATTCCAAAATAATTCACTAGGTCCATTTTCTCCAAACACTAATGAAAAACACTCAACTAACAATTCATATTTTGGTAAATGTTGTACTTCATATGCTTCAAAAACTGAAATAAAATATAATTTGAAGGCAAGTTTATAACCAAACAAATATGCTACATCTGGTTGAAAGCATGGACCCTTAAGCATGCTTAGTATGTAACTGATGACATCTAATTTAAATGCTTTGAGACCACATTCCTTTATCATATATGTTACTGTTGTTTCTAAAGATTGGTTATTTTTTGGCCATCCAGTTTCATCATAATAGACTTGTAAGTGTAATAAATATGATGACCAAATCCAATGAAAAACTCCATAAGTTCTATCGTATCCAATATTTAATGCAAGATTATTGATTGCTATTAGATCATCAGTTGAAACTGGTTCATATTGAAAATTTTCAGAAGTTTGTAGGATAGAACGGAAATTCAATTCAATAAACATAATTGTAATCATTACTATCTGATACAGATGATTGATCTGCGTGGCTATATTCTTTCCATGTGTGTCAAGATATTGCTCAACGTGTTGAATAAGGCCAAACTTATTGTTGACTGAATGTTGAAGGAATTTCAATAATAACCTGTTGGTTAATTTTTCAGGTTCTTGAACAGTATATCTCAAAAACAAAAGCTCTAAAAGAGCCTTTTGTTCCTTGACTACTTGTAAAGCCCATATTTTTGAAAAAGATAATTGAGCAAAGTTATCTGGAATGTCTTCTTCAGGTATTCGTTTTAATTGCTTGAATATTTGATCAATAAAATCATCATCAAGAAAATTTTGTTCTATTATTTCCTTCGCAACATTGTGATAGATAGAACCAGAATCTATGGCTAAATAAAATAAATAACAAGATATTTCTACTATAGCATTACGTTCATCAAGATAATGTTCAAAAAAATTTTCTCTCAACTCTTCAGCATTATCCCATTGTGATTCCCAAGAAGGATTTACCGCTTTAAAGCTTTCAATTAAGTCATTGCAAACTGATTGATCAAGCTGAAGAAAACTACTAACGCTTGGTGAACTAAGCTCAAAAGTTCCTTTAATATTAGTTGATGAAGGTGTCGAAATTCTTTTTTCATCAAATGAATTTAAAATATTTTTTAAAAAGCTGATTTTATTCTTTATGATTTCTTTAAGATTGTCGGGTGAACATTGACTATCTGAAATTGCAATAGTATATCGAATTGTTTCAAAAGATCTATATATATTTATTTACATATTTAAAAACTATTAGTATTTTATATAGTAAATGGATGTAATCAGCTTAATTCAATTCTGCAGTTGAACCTTTTAAAAATTTCTTTTGCTGGTGAGGTAGATGTTGACATTTTTTGTTTTTGAATTGAAGAATGATTGTGTTGATCATTTTATTTTGTCGAGTATAATAATATATGTGTCACACAAAATTCAAAAAAAGTGAGCGAATCAACATAAATTTGATAAATAATAAATCTGATAAAGGTACTCATCGTTCAAATGCCCCGACCTACTATAATTTTTAGCGCTTCTAATTGACGGTTCTTACGTTTATGAAATATAATTTCATATGATTCTTTTTGGTATTCTCTCGCACACTTTGGAAAAAGATATAAAACAAAACGTAACATTATACTACACTATATTCCTGGAAGCATTTAATATATATATATATAATTCATCATTTTAGAAATATATACTATAACTCAAATCTATCAAAATTATCCATTATACTTTATAAGGTCTTTTATTAAAAACATATTTTTATCAACTATTTTCATAGATGATCAATTAAAACAGTCCATGTAAAAGCTGCTTGTCAGACCAAAATAGTTATTATTATTTTTTCAATGTCATCATAATGTTAATTTTTTATTGGTAATTTTTACATAGTAAAAATACAAATACTCCTGTATCTAATCAAATTGGACCATTTGGGCCGACAGATCACTGCTTTTTCTTTCCATTGGCTGTTAATTCTTGAGAATAACATTTAATAGTTATAACTTTATTAAGAAAGTTATAGTGAATCATCACAAAGACATCCAAATCTAATATTATTGCTATCCAATCTGACAATGTGATTTTATTATCTTTTATTTCTATTCCTATTAATGTTTTTGTTAATATTGTTGTTATTATTATCTCTACCATTATTATTATAATTATGATTGCTACTTTATTTCTTTTGATATGTTTGTTAATATCAAAACATATTTCTGTATTTAACAATGTATTTCCCATATTCTTTCTTTGATTAAATCATTCATGCTTTCCATGACATTGTATAAAACTTCATGTGATCACAAAGGTCCTTTGGTATATTTTCTTTTATCAGATCAATGAATGTGAGCTGATTTTTATCTTGATATATTCTCCAATATGTTTTTCCATCAAACATATTTCCAGAACCAACTGGTTTATTTCTTTTACTAGGTTTTTTTTTGCCTTTGAATTATATTGTTGATAGTTTCTCTTTCTTTTTCACATATCCAAATATGCAAAAAATCTTCATTTTCTTTGTTTCAAAGGCAACATTTCCAATTATTATCATATGGATCTGGACTTCATGATTTAAGGTTTTCAATATGTAGGGTTTGACCCACACTGTGATTGGCTTTTTGGAGACAATCTTGCCAAATTTGGTAAATTTTACTATAGGGTTTGACCCAGCTGTGGCAGTAACCTATTTATATAGTTTGCAGGTCCTCAAAAAATGCATAAATTCTTTGTGGTGAAGATCAGTAGATTTCCAACAGTTTTGAAAAATTCCAGCATTTAGTGTAATTCTACTTTAAAACAATGTAAATTTATTATGTTACATGAAAAATAGGTTTTCCACCATGCTATATAGTACAGTCAAAAATCTTTCCAATTTGGAATTAGAATATATGCCACTTTGTCAATCATTCTTATGTTTTATATGTCACAAATAAATAATTGAAATAAATACCTTCAAACTTATCCCTTAAATGGTCAGAGATTCTTTAATGGCAATGTTGTGCAATTGGAACATTGTAACAATATTGGAATGTTCTAATGTAGATCTTCAATTGATATTGACAAATGAAAATTGAATTTCATTGGTTAGTTTTATTGGAACCACATTTGGAATATTCCAATTCCAATTGGAAGTTCTAATGGTTAATGGTAACACAAAATAATTTTTTTGATCATGATCTTTGCATTCTTATTGATCAATTTGATGATCAGCAAAGTAAAAATAGTCAATTGACCAATTTTAAAGATTTTATGAATTTTTATTTATAGATCAGTCAGCTGGATCTCAAAGATCATTTTTGTATTAGGAAGTGATACCCTCAGAGAAAGTTTTTATAACAGAAAAAAAATTTTCAGCTATATACCAATAGCTGAAAAACTGTTTAAGGGATATTTTCTTAATCCATTAAATGTTTTTCTTAATCCATTGATTTGCTCAAAGTATGCTTTTACCTAAAATTGAGAAATTTATCTATAGTGCAAACCACTTAGTTGCTGAACTTTTAATTGGTTGTGTATATCCTTTAACTCCTCTAAAAATAGAAGTGTATGACCAAAAAACAAATCATAGAATTAAAGCCAAGACCTTTCTCTACAATTCTATATCATGTTACATGGAGGAATTAAGCCTCAAAGTTGCATGAGTTTGTTACATATAATAAAAAAAAATTTCATTTGATTTTTTAAAGCTCAATCACTGTTTTATTGAGTATATTACATAGTTCATGTAATAACTTGTTTATTCATTGTGTAAGTCACCTTTAAAATTTGCTTTTTGAAATTTTCTAATTTTCTAATTCATTATTTTTGATGTAAAAAATCATGTAACATGCCACTTTCAGGGTTAACTTGTGCAATTTTGAGGCTTAATTCCTCCATGGTAATGTGGCATATCAAACAAATGAAATCATAGATTTGTAGAGAAAGATCTTGGCTTTAATTCTATGATACACTTCTATTTTTGGAGGAGTTAAAGGATATACACAGCCAATAAAAAGTTCAGTAACTAAGTGACTTTCATCATACTAAAGTTCAAATTTGTCGCTTTTTTATGTTAAACTTATTATTTTTTACATTAAGTACTGTGAGATCATGTTTGAGTCTCAAAGATGATGATTTATTTAATTCCAATATGTTAATACAATTTCTTCCAATTTATTTATTATTATGCTAATCCTAACAGCAATTTCCGCAAATGTATATTTATGCTTTACTCTCAAACTATTGTTAAACATTCCTTGCTAAGCAATACTAAACAATAACTTCTTTAGATTTCACACTATATCCATGAACACATTTCTTGATGGGTATCATTCTTAGCTGTTACTCCCTACTCAAGTCAGTACGTTTCTCAAACCTTGCTAAATAAAATTTATTAAATATTCCTCACTAAAAGAAAAGAAATAAAAAATAAAAAAAAAATAGAGGCAAATATAAAATAAGAGAAAATTAATTATGCACGGGGTTAGATTTATTATCATCACGAAAATATAAATTCGAAGACAATAACAAGGTTAAGATCAAGGATAAGGACAGTTTGTTATTTATTAAATGATTATTATGACGTTAATGATGATAAGAATGAGGATGATACATGAAGTTAAGAAAATTATAATGTTATTTATACATGTTAAAGGTTCAATCATCTAGTCTTCAATTTCTTTGAAATCCTAATTTGTTATAATTAAATGTATTCCTTAAACAGTATTTGAACCTTCCGTGTAGAATCGTTTTCAAGTTTTTTCTAAAGTGATCTTATTCATTTAATTTCCTTCGTTTAAATTAAATCTGAAAATTAAAGGCCCGTTAAATTTTAGAGTGTTAGAATATTTCCCGATTTCCTTTTCGTGCTTTCATAAATCATTTTCGATTTATTTATTGATTTTCCCGTGATCCATAATTCATAATTTACTATTTTACAGTACTTTGACACGCTTAGTGGTAGTATCCGTCGGATATTCGGATATTCGCCGATCACCCTTTCACAAAATTTTGGTATCCGAATACTCAATCGTCAAATAATTTTGACATCCGAATACTCAATTGTCAAATAAC